AATAAATAAATAAGAACGGAGAAACCGCAGGACGGTGACTTTTTTGCAATTGCTATAGCGATTGCAAAACGATGTTTCCAATGGGTTTTTTTCGCTGGACGTGGAATAGGTCCATGCTTCACGAACCGTTTGTTCGCAATACGCCAATTTTTACGACATCGCAAAATCGCTTCCTGTTGTTTTCCGACCCATGCTTTGGAAAACAGCCATTAAAAACAGCTGATCGGCGCTCAGAAAATGGCTTCCCTATGGAGGATCTTCACTGGACGATGAGGCAATTTACCCACTGGAATGGATTAACCGGTTTTCAATGCATTCCAATGGGGATTTTTTTTTCGCGTGACGATTTTGCTGTACAGCGATTTCAGTGGAACGAATTATCATCGTCATGCGGGACACCACTGTAATTCCAAGAAGATGAAAGTGGGAGATATGGGGGGGAGGCCAATGTGGCTGTCATGGGACCTTCTTCCCTTCAAACCTTTTTCCAGCGGTACCTCCAGAGACCAGCCCTTTCTCCTTCAAGGAAGGGTTGCCCTTGAAGAAAAGCATCCTGGACTTGGACTTACACACACTGAGGTCCCAATGGAGGGGTTGCCGTTTTCAGTAAACCTACCACCATTTCTGGATGAACCAAAACACACAAATGAACTCTTAACATGCCTCAGAAGCATACCCAGTAGTCATGGTCGAACCTTGGCAAGGCTACAAGATTTCGATAACCTGTGATTCTCTTGAAAGCATTCTCCAGACCAGTTCTTTTAAACATTTTATTAAAAAGAAATAAAGAAAAGGTAAAGCTAAATGAAAATTGCACCCAGCAAAGCCAGAAGTTGAATGATTGCAAGGTTATGGGAAACAGCTACAAAATCAGACGTCTGGAAAAATGAGTAAGGTTGGGCAAAACAAGGAAACAAACTTAAAATCAATGGCAAAAGACTTGCAAGCAATGAATTCAGGCAAGGCACAGCACACTAAGAAAACAAGAAACAAACTACTCTGTCACAGGGGACTATAATCTACTCTCTCATGCTCTACCCAGTGGTTCAACACACTTCTTAGTTCCCTGTACTAATTCTTTTTTACCAGAAGGCTACCTGCCCATTCCAGCTGTGAGCTCACTCATGTCCTTCCTCTCTTCCATGGAAATTGTTCTCCCCCTAAATCTAGAGGCCTATCTTAAAATTTTCCTGAAGTCGTTGACTTGTACATAAGAGCCTTTGAGGTGTGGGAGTTAGATCTGGGCTAACTCATTTTGAACCATTCAGGAGCCAGTTGTTCCCCTAGCTTGCCCAAAAACTTCAACTGTGTATTTGGCCTGCCCCAATTAACGTATCACAGAGGCTTACTTTTCCATGCATCCTGCTTGGAGTCCCTTTGATCCTCTTACCTCCATTTCTGATCTTGTGTCTTCCCCTTTCCAACCTGCTGTTTCCCCATGAGAACGAAAGCTAACTAAGGCACTACCATTTACATAAGAAATCAAAATTATATCAAGGTATCATTTAGGAATCTTCTCTGTCTCTCCACAGTGGCTTCACAAAAAGCTCAGAGAGGACCTCAAAATAAAAGAGGACATAGGATTTGGAAGGAAAGTTAAAGGTTCCCTTTAACATTTAGTCCAGTCGTGTCCAACTCTAGGGCACGGTGCTTATCATTGTTTCCAAGCCATAGAGCCAGCGTTTGTCCAAAGACAGTTTCCGTGATCACGTGGCCAGCATATCTAGACACGGAATGCCATTACCTTCCCACAGTGGTGGTACCTATTTATCTACTCGCATTTACATGCTTTCGAACTGCTAGGTTGGCGAGGAGCTGGGACGAGCAATGGGAACTCACTCAATCGCATGGATTCGATCTTATGACTGCTAGTCTTCTGACCTTGCAGCACAACACCGCCACGAAAAGGAAGGAAAGCCAGGCCACAAAGTACAGACAGGTAGCAAAGAACTGCAGGGATGCAGAAGAAGCTAAGAATCAGCTGAGGTTAGCAATAAAAAAGCTTTCTTCAGGTGCAACAGACAGGTAGCAAAGAACTGCAGGGATGGTGTTAAGAAGAAGCTGAGAATCAACTGAGGTTAGCAACAAAAAAGCTTTCTTCAGGTGCGTGTATAGCAAAAAATGCAGAAAAGAAACAGCGGCTCACCTATTCACTGGGGATAGAAAAATAATAATGAACAACAATAAAATGGCAGAAGTGCTCAATTCCTACATTAGCTTTCTTTCTTTCTCTTATTTTATTTTATTTTTGGCAAAAGACAGTTTATGACCCTCCAGGCAAATGTGAAGTATAAGATGAGATGAGGTGACATGGCTGTGGTTTGAAACGGATAAACAAATAATCAAGGGATACCTTATTACTTTGAATGAGTTTGAATCTCCAGGGCCTGATGAACTGCATTTAAGAGTATAGAATGAACTGGCTGAAGAAGTCTCAGAATGACTGTCTTTAAGTTTCTTCAAATCATGGAAGATGGGTGAAAAGCCACTGCATTTAAGAGTATAGAATGAACTGGCTGAAGAAGTCTCAGAATGACTATCTTTAAGTTTCTTCAAATCATGGAAGATGGATGAAAAGCCAAATGATTGGCAGAAGGATAATGTTATCCCTGTCTTCAAACAGGGGGAACCTGGGAATTACAGACCAGTCAGCCTGACACAAATTGCTGGGAAAATTCTGGAACACATCTATAAGCACCTTGAAAACAATGCAGAAATAACTAGAAGCCAACATGGATTTGTAAACAATAAATCCTACCAGACTAATCTTATCTCATTTTTTGATCAGCTAACCTCCCTGGTAGACAGTGGGAATGCTGTAGATGTATTATATCTTGACTTCAGCAAAGCTTCTGACAAAGTGCCCCATGATAGTCTGATGATTAGCAAGCTAACTAGGTGTGGCTGGTTAGAACTATCTGGTGGATACATAGTTGGTTACGGATAGTACTCAGAGAGTGCTGACTTATTTAACTTATATGCCGCCCACACTACTCGAAGGTCTCTGGGCAGCTTACATTTAAAATACAGTAAAAAAGCAAAATAAAAGGGCAAAATAATTAAAATGCAATTAAAACATATACTGTAAAAATTGCCATGAGACCCACAGCTGATATGATTTCAATTAAAAGCCTTTTGGAACAGGAAGGTTTTGACTTGGCGCTGAAATGTCATCAGCGTCGGCACCAGACGAATCTCAGTTGGGAGGGCATTCCATAGTCTGGGGGCAGCTGCCAAAACGGCCCTTTGTCTACAAGCCATCCCTCTTACCTTCTTAAGGGACGGCTCTTTCAAAAGGACCCCCCTGGCTAGATCTTAACTGCCAGGTAGGCTCATATGGAAGGAGGCGGTCCTTCTATCCAGGGCCCAAGCCGTTTAGGGCTTTATATGTCAAAACAAGCACTTTGAATTGAGCTCTTTGAATGGTTTCTTCTCAAACTGGGAAGAAGGTAACAGTGTAGCACAAGGATCTCCAAACTACGGTCCACAGGCCACATCTGGCCTGCCTTGCCTTTTTATCTGGCTTGATGAACGTTGCAGGTTCAGATCTGTTCCCTTCAGTCCATGTGAATGCAGGCCAGCGGGCTTATGGGCATGTGTTTCTACACCTGCGCAGGTTTCTTCGGCCCTCAAAAATGTGGAAAATACATGTGGCCCTCATGCTGAAAAGTTTGGAAACCCCTGCCGCGGGCTTATGGGCATGTGTTTCTACACCTCTGCAGGTTCCTTCGGCCCTCAAAAACGTGGGAAATACATGTGGCCCTCAGGCTGAAAATTTTGGAAACTCCTGCACAAGGCTCAGTCCTGAGGCTAGTGCTCTTCAACATTTACTAATGACTTGAGTGAGGGGGTATAAGGAATAAGTGCAAAGTACTACACCTAGGAAAAGGAAACCGAACACACAGTTACAAGATGGGGGTTTACTTGGATCAGTAACACAACAAGCAAGAACGATCTTCTAATCGTAGATCACAAGCTGAATATGAGCCAACAGTGTGACGCAGCTGCAAAAAAAGGCAAACACTATTTTAGGCTGCATTAAGAGTTGTACAGTCTCCAAATATCATGAAATACAGTGGTGCCTCGCATAGCGACGTTAATCGGTGCAGCAAAAATCGCTGCAAAGCTTTTGGTCGCTATGCGATTTTAAAAAGCCCATAGGAATGCATTGAAACCCCTTCAATGCGGTCCTATGGGCTTCAGACTCACCTTAAAGTGAAAATCCTCCATACAGTGGCCATTTTCGCTGCCTGGTAAACGAGGAATCCGTCCCAGAAAACAGTGGGCGGCCATTTTTTTTATCTGGGGGCCATTTAGGAACCACCGATCAGCTGTTAAAAAATAATCGCTTTGTGATGATCGGTAAGCGAAACAGGGTACGGATCATCACAAAGCGATTTTTCCCCATTTAAAACATCACAATGCGATCGCTTTTGTGATTGCAAAATCTTCATCGCTATGCGATTTCTTCGTTAAATGGGGCGCCTGTTAAGCAAGGCACCACTGTACTGTTTTCCCCCTATTCGACCCTGGTTAGACCTCATCTCAAGTATTGTTCCCAGTTCTGGACATTGCACTTTAAGAGTGATGCGGACAAATTGGAACAATTTCAGAAGAGAGCAACAAAGATGATTAGGAAACTGGAAATCAAGACCTATGGGAAAAGACCTATGAAAAAGACTGGGAAAAAAAGAGCACTGAGGGGAGGTATGATAGCACTTTTCAAGTACTTGAAAGATACAGAGGAGGGACAGGATCTGGTCTCAGTTATTCCAGAGTGCAGGACATGTAATAATGGGCTCAAGTTATAGGGAGCTGAATTTCAGTTGCATATCAGAAAAAACTTCCTATTATATATTATATATTATCCCTTATAAAAAATAAAAAATACAAAAAAAAGAAAAAAAAGAAAAGAAAATTAGACAACCACCTGGTAGATATCCTTTGATTTGTATTCCAGCATTGAGCAGGGAGTTGGACTTGATGGCCTTATAGGCCCTTTCCAACTCTATTATTCAGGAATTCTATGAAACTACAGGTTAAGATTGTGGTTTGTGATTGGTTAACCAACTATGGCAAGCTAGGAAAAGTAGATCTGAACATCACAGTAAACCAGATTTCTGCAGATTTACACACCGTGACTGGTTGTGCATTATGTCAAATGGTCATGAAATACTCCTTTACTCCACATGCTTGTCTACCTTATCAAAGGTATAAAAGTTGCCTATAAGCAACTATAACCCTATGAATGAGTCTCCTCCAAAATGTCCTTTCATTAACAGCCCCCTGCTCAGGTCTTGCAAACTCAAGGCCATGGCTTCCTCCAATCCATCTCACGTTTGGTCTTTTTCTTTTCCTGCTCTCTTCAACTCTCAGGTCTTGCAAACTCAAGGCCATGGCTTTCTCCAATCCATCTCATGCTTGTTTTCTTTTCCTGCTCTCTTCAACTATTTCCTACCACTGTCTTTTCCAGCAAGCAGAAGCACCTCACCCACCAGCTTCGCCCTGTGAGAACTGTAATCCAAAGCATATGGATTAGACAAATATTCCTTACTTCCGGAAAAAAAAATCACCCCTTTTCATTCATCACATGACCAAGTAACATCTCCACAGAGCCAAAAAAAATTATGCTTTTGAAAGTTTAAAATGCCACGTAATACCAAATGTTGGTTCTATTTTAGTAAACAACACAGATTAGAAAAAGAAAATAGGTATTGAAAGAAGTGGGACCTCCACCTCTCCTGCCTAATAGCAAAATATATACCAAAACCGGCTTAAGCCATGTGAAATATTATTCATTTCGAAGGGCCAGCCCCCTTTTTTCAAAGATAAAACCCACCCACGATCCCTATTTATCCTCTGGTAGCAAGAATATGACATGACACTAGCGCTAGCTTTCCAAGTGGACAGAAATCTTCTACTCTCTGTGCCAGTTTCCCCACCACACAGTCCTCAAGCCAGAACAAACGCGCCCTACCATTCTAAAGAGGATGCATAATAAAGTAATTATGGAAGACAAGACCAAGATACCTTATTTGAACGGAGAAACCCATCTTTTGCACTTTTTGAATTATGGTGTATTTTTATCGTGGTCCAAAAATCTAATTTTACTGTTTATGAGCAACCAAGAGAAAGAAGTTCAAAGAGGTAGAAGGAGTTTCATTGCATCTTTTAGGTGCTCTAAAATTCCTTCCCCTCTTTTGAAACAGACTAATTCCGACTATTTCTCTGAAAACGACTTATAATATTTTAAAACAAAAACAATTCGCCGCCCCCGGCCTTCAAGGACTTTTTCACTTTGCACAGTCAGGAACTCTCCTCCAGCCAG